TGGGACCTGCTGGCAGGTTCCTTTCTCCACCAGAATGATTCACTTGAGAACTTCTGCTGGTGAGAATCAGAAGCCTCTCTGCTGACATTTTCTTTTTCTCTCCCCGACTGCGTCCCCCTCAGGTGCCGGAGGATGGTGGTTGTCATTTCAGATGACTACCTGGAAAGTGATGAATGTGATTTCCAGACCAAATTCGCTCTTAGTCTTTCCCCAGGTAAGATCTCACAAATATCCCACCTAAAATTGCATATCAGCATTATCATTTTTATTTTATTATAATTTTTTGTTACAGTTACGTCTCCGCTGAGATCAGTGCTGTGTTATGGGGCACTGCACAGGTGCAGAATGAGGGGTGGTCTGAGATGTTCATGCAGATTAGAAAGGAGAAGGTAAATAACTGATAGGTACAGGAGCAGTAGCTTGGTCTCAGCCCTGGGTTCTCACCAATGTTTCACCCGTGTGGAAATCCCCCCAGGCATGGGGCTTGCCCTGGGTGGAAAGCCCTTCACTGAGCACAGGGGATTTATCTCTGGTAGCTGCAGCCATTACAAGTAACGGTGGCTTTATCGTTTTGAGGTGCAGGCAGGGACCTGGGCTTGGTTCCTTGCCCTGCTGCTGACCTCCTGCATGAGGTGGCCACGCTCCAGTGCTCCAGCTGTCATATGGGTTAGAGCTGCCTGCTGCAGAGGGGACGTAGCTGCACGTCAGGCTTGTGAAGTGCTTCAGGATCCGTGTGGGAAATCAGCTACCAAGGAGGAAAGGATCATCCTAAATCCAGGGTGCGAGTAATTCCTGGGAATAGGGTAGCAAGGAATGAACGTGGAGGTGTTTGCAGAGATCCTTGACTATTGTGGGCAGCTTGTGAATGAGTGAATGACTGATTGTTCAGCTTGGATTGGAAAAATGTTAGATATATTGTTCTGAATGCAAAGCCATCAGTTTCCTTCTGACCAGTCTGTTCAGTTTGCTCTTCTCTAACCACTGGGAATCCTGCACTTGAGTGTGTTGCTGGGGAGTAAGTGCAGCATGGCCCAGGAGCATGGAGGACATGGAGTGTCTGCTTGTAAAGTGAGGTATCTGACATGGCATTGTAAAGGACATGCCAGAGGTTAAACTGGAAGCCAGTGGCAGTGCTAGGAATTAATTCCATCTTCCTTGACAGAATAATTTAATACAATGGCCATTGGTCCACTGAACACCCCCAGCACATTGCATTAGCCCCAGACATCAACATGTAGCAAAGTCCTTTTAGCTCCTCATCAGGTTTTTGTTGACACCATGGGTTGGATCAGAATCACGGGCAAGGAGATGTCCATCTGTCTGTAGTGACCTGAGCTCAACCAGTGGAAACGTGTGTGCAGGCTTCCAGAATCACAGAGGTGCTCGTTTGGGTGAGGTAACTAAGGTGCAGGAGGGTCTGCTGGCAAGTTCCAGGAGCTCCACGGGTTACTCAGGTGTCTGCTGCAGTTAGGAAATGTTGGTTCTTTGCCTCACCCAGGCCTCGGTGTCAGCCCTTGCTCTGGGCAGCACAGTCTGGCTGGCAGCGGCTGTCCCAGGGGAGAATTATAAGGGGGGAGGTTCCTCTTTAGCAGCTGCTCCTTTGAGGAGCAGCAGTCCCAGGGATGTTGTCTCATCCTGTGCATGCCTTGGAAAAGCTGTTGGTGGTAGGGAGTGGTTCCTTGCAGCCCCTTGGTGGGTGACATCTGCAGCCTCTCTGAGTAGATGAAGGTAGGAGGAGAAAGAACCTGAGACAACCCAGCATAGGTGACCATCTAGAAACAACGTGAGTCTGAATTGTCTCTTCAAAGGCACCTGGAAGTAGCCAGGACTGCACACTCCTGTTTGTGTTCCATGGGAAACTCTGCTCTGCCCCTTTCTGTCTGCAGTTCATTTGATCTTCTCACTCCCCTCAGCACCAGCTGCCCCACGTGCCTGGGAGGGAGCCCTGCTATGTACTGGAGGGACATGCTCTCGGCAGAGGGCTTGGGGGTCAGCAGCTTTCTCTCCGGGGCGAGAAGGAGTTGTGCTATGATGAGATGGCCCAAAATCAGAGGCAAGCCTGGATCTGTGTGCTGCTGTGGGGAGAAAACGGACCCTGGATCTGACTGTGGCTCTGTGTAACCTCTGCCTGTGTGTCCTGTCTTCCAGGTGCCCGTCTCAAGCGGCTGATTCCCGTCAAGTGCAAGACCATGAAGAACGAGTTTCCGAGCATCTTACGGTTCATTACCATCTGTGACTACACCAATCCTTGCACCAAAAAGTGGTTCTGGACGAGACTGGCCAAATCCCTCCTGCTGCCGTGATGCAGAGTCAGGAGAGCTGGGTGCTCTTCTGTCCCCTGCCCGGGCTGTGCCTTTGGACCCTGGTGTCCTTCACGCAGGGTCTCCTGCCACTTCAGAGCCTTGAGCTTTGCAGCTGATGTTTGGAGCCTGCGACCGGGAGCAAAGAATTTTCTCTGGCACTTTTTTATAACTCAGAAGGGGAAACAAAATAACTGGGTGGGTGTTCCTGTTCAAGTCAGCCAGCAACAGTGTTCAGCATTTTGTGTAGCAAGCACTTCTGATGAAAATAGAGAGAATACACATTTAAAGACAGTGTTTAATAAAAGAAGGCTTAACTGTAAGCATTTAATAGGACCTCAGAGCCTCAAACTGTGGGCTTGCTTAAATATTTCCTATTAGTTTAAAAGCTGTTTAATGGCTGTAGTAACATCTAGGGCTGGTAGGGATTTTAGAATCCCAGTGAAGCCCTGTGGCTGCTTGGTGATCCCCAGGGACCAAGGTGTCAGCAAATGGCCAGTTCCATGGGAATGACTGATCTTGGCAGCCCTGGGCTTTCCCTGGCCCACATCTGCTCTGAGGGTAGAGAGTCTCTTCCAGTCCTTTTTTTGGGAATAGCAGAAGTGTATTTTCATTGTTAAAACCCTGCAGAGAAATTAATGGTTCTGTCATTGTTCTTAGCAATATCTGCAAAATTAGAGCAATTCTCCCCGTAATTACAACCAATGCAGAATTACAGAGTTTATTTTCTGTGGATGTTCTCCTCCTCACGTTGTATCACAGCATTCCTGTTCTGTCCCCATTTACAGGGTAAATCCCTTGCCACTAGTATTTTCTGAGGCAGTCCCTCAGGTCTGCTTTAAGTGGTTTTTTGCTCATTGAAAGCACTAAGTGCAAGGAAAGACATGTGCTTATACCACGTCAATCATGTCTGTCTCTGTTCAGGTCATACTTGATAAGTGACCTTATACCAGCATTTTACATTCCCAGATCTTACTAAGTGTTTACAGTAGAGCCTTCTTTTTGTAGAAATTCAGTCTTAAAATACATATTCTCAGTGAAAATCCTGGCTGCTGTTGCTCATTGACTTGACATGGGACAGAGCTGTGCACCTAAGTGGGTCCACATCTCAAATTGTTTCACCTTTAAGAGCTTCCCAAAACACCAGCTTTGGGGATTCCTCAAAGGTACAGAGATAAATCATAGAATCATGGGATGGTTGGAAGGGACCTTATAAGAGTGTACTGTCAATTGGGCTGTTTATAATGGAAAGGCTAATGTTACATTAATAGGAAAGAGCATATTTTAATTTTTAATTTAAAACATTACTGTGTCTCTGTGAGTAAGGCTGGGAGCAGCACGGATTGCCCTGTGTCTTAGACTTAGCTTTGAGTCCTGCCAAGTGGGTCTCACCACATCTCAGTGCTCAGGGCCGAGGGGCAAGAGTTCTGCCCAAACTAGCAATTTAAAGTGACCTGATTGTGTATTAGACAGATTGACAGTAAATATTTACTTTCAGAATTAGGAAGAGAGGGATCTCACATGTCTCTGCAGTTGCTTCCACTCTGCCACTTCCTTCAGCCACTGTCTTATGTTGATTTTACAGCTTAATGTTTTTTTAGTTTACATTTTTCAGCTTGCATCTGGATGTGATTTATTTTTTTGGTAGGATTTATTTTGAAACGTTACCAGGGCTGAGGCAGAGACAGAAACGTGTCCTGCCCTTCCCTCACCACCCTCTCAGTGAATGGTCCCTTACCAGGGGTGCTGCAGACTCCTGTCCCCATGCTGCTGGTTCCAACCTGCCCAGGTTGCTGCTGGCTCCTCCTGGCTGGCCCTTGAGCTGGTGGGGCTTGTTCACGTGCACGGTGTTGGCGGCAGGGGCTGGTTTTGGATAGGCCCACGGGCTGGGTGTTTTTCAGTTCCTCCTACAAATGTGACTGCTGCCACCGTGCCAAGGTGACATTTGCACCTCTCCGTCTTGCTAAAACGAGCAGTGAGAAGTTTGTGGGCATGGGAGGGGAAAAGTTAAGCTGATGAGAGGTTTCTAAATAGCTCATCTTCATGTCCTGTTGCCCTCGGGCCTCTCCTGCAGAAGTGGAGACAGCTGCTTGCCTCGGGGCTTCTGCATAATCGGTAAATGTTAATTATAGAAGAGTTTCTGGAGGCTGCTTGAACCCCAGGGGCTCAGTGAATTCTCATACTCTGGAGCGTCTATAAACGTTAATTATGGGTCATTACCGGCAGGACCAAACCGGATTCCTCTTGTTTTGAGAGCTGCGAGGGCTCTGGTCAGTCCTGAGGGGAGCAGAGGCGGAGGAGGCGCTGCAGTCGCTAGAGGGAGGCAGTGGCCCGCGCTGGCTCCTGCCAGGGATCCCGGCAGCGGCTGGGGTGCGCCGGCGGTGGGATGGGCCAGTGACCCACCGTGGGATGACCTGCTGTCAGAGCTGGCCGCCGGGACGAGGAAAAGAGCAGTGGGTTTTCTTCCTCTGCTCCTCGCACCTTCTCCTAAGGGTCTTGTGCCAAAATAGTGAGAATTTTGGTCGATTGAACCTCGTGCGGTTCCTCTGATGGGTGGTTTGGGACTTCAGGTCTTGGAAACGAGGCAAAAATACTAGCAGCAAAAATAAGGAGGTTTGTAATAGGTGATCGTGGAACAGGGAGAGTGCTGCTTCTGGGTGGGAAAGCAAAACGAGCTGGATTTCTAAATCTTCTGGCCTCCAGTGGGGCAATGTGACATTCCAATCACCCGGGAAGGGTGTCGGCGTTGCGGAGGGGTCTCGGTGCCACCCCATGCTCTGTGCCCTGGCCTGTCTGCCTGGCTCGGGGCCTGGGCCACCATTGCTGTTGCCAGACTCTTGCTTATTGCAAGCAGTTACAATTCATCTGGTAGCCAAAATAATCATTTTGGTGTAAAGAGGAGTAACAGCCTTAAAACATAAAATACGTGCTTTATGTCCTGTGTAAAAAATGGATTTCATGGGCTTCTGACATTTCCCGGTCTGTCTTGTGAAGGTGACCCGATGAAGTGTGACATCCAGCAGTGATATCAACCCCCTCCTCGAGAGCAGGTTTCAGGGGCAGTTGTGGGTCTCCTCCCCTCTTTCACGCTCCATGGAAGGTCAACACTTTAAATGCCTTTAAAAAAGGGATTTACAAAATTGTGATAGTGATTTTTTTGTTCCATTCTGTTTCTTTCCTTCACTGAAATTATCCTGATTGAATGTTAGTGACAAATCATTTATTTTTATATATAGACATATATATATTTATATTACTTTCTAGTCTAATATGGGTCTGTGGAAAAGTGTATGTGCTAACTGGCCATTCTGAAAATAGTCAATGATTCTGTGGGTTTTACACCTCAAAAAAAAAACAGTCTTTTGCTACTTGTGAAAACATTTTAAAATAAAGAATTAAAACCCAGCAGGCTGAGTCTGCTCCTTGGGCATCAGGGAATAACTGCTAGGTTTCAGAATGAAGTGTCAGTGAGAAATGATATGGGCTTGTTCCTTTTTTTTTTCATGTTTTCCCTCAGCAGCTTCTTCAGAGGAGGGTTTGGCCATGCCTGGAGGAGGGAGAAGTAGAGTTGTGTCATGCCAGGAGGAAAATTGTCAAGGAGTCTTACTTCGGACACGCATGGTTCCTCTCCAGGTCTCAGCTTTGGCTCTGCAGTCTGTCACCATCCTGGACCTGCTTCAGCCATGGGAGCTAACAGGCTGGAGGGGCTGGGGCCAGGTCTTCTGCTGCCTGACCCCAGCAAGCAGAGAAGCTGGGTGCTGAGCTCTTGCTCCCCATCCCTTCCAGAGGCCCTGGCAGGGGATATGTCATGGTGCCAGGATTTTGCCAGCTTTGTTTCCTTTGGCTCCGAGTCAGTCCAAGCCAGGGAGGTGACCTGAAAACCCAGCAGCTGCTGGGCCAAGGCCCTGCCACAGGAGAAGATGAAGGATCACTGACTCACGGGAGGGGTGGTTGGAAGGAATCTCTGAAGGTCAAGGACGAGCTGCACTTCACAGCAGGAGGGGCTGTGTGCTGAGCTGCCCGCAGGACGATGTTCCCTGCAAGGGGCATGAAGTCATGGCTTTGCTGTGGCTGCCACAAGTCAACGTGTGGCCAGCAGTACAGGAACCATGGCCCAGGAGACGGTTCTGGACAGAAATCCTGGGCAAGAGCAGCCTGCCAGGGGAGTCCTGCTCCCAGAAGTGCTGAGATCCCATCACACCCAGTGTGGCTTTACACCACTTGCCCGTTTGTGTGAACACCCCTGGACTGGGGAGGCTACACCTGAATCCTGGGTTCAGTTTTGGGTCCCTCACTCCAAGAAGGACATTGAGGAGCTGGAGTGTGTTCAAAGAAGGGCAACAAAGCTGGTGAAGAGTCTAGAGAACAAGTCTGATGAGGAGTTGCTTGAGGGACCTGGGGTTGTTGAGCCTGGAGAAAAGGAGGCTCAGGGGAGATCTTCTCTTGACAACTCCCTGACAGGAGGTTGGAGCCAGGTGGGGGTTGGGCTCTTCTCCCAAGTAACAAGTGACAGGACAAGAGGAAATGGCCCTGTCACAACAAGAATGGAAACAACTCAAGTTGCACCAGAGGAGTTTTAGAAGTGTTAGGAAAAACTTCTTCCCCAAAAGGGTTGTTGAGCCCTGGAACGGGCTGCCCAGGGGAGTGGTGGAGTCCCCATCCCTGGAGGGGTTTAAAAGCTGTGCAGATGTGGTGTTGAGGGACATGGTTTAGTGGTGACCTGGCAGTGCTGGGTTGGACGTGATGATCTTGAATGTTTTTTCCAACCTATCTGATTCCATGATTCCACAAGCAGAACCCTTGCTCCAAGCTCACTGCAAACACACAGGCTCAACACGATGAATCTTGTCTAGTTCGTTGATGAAATCAGACTCGTGAGGTGATGAAATGGGTCTTTATCCTCTGGGATGCCAAAGCTAGGAAAAGGATGGACTCAGGGAATGTGTTCAGGCAAATGTGGGGGCTATGATGAAGTGGACTTCCACAGTTTTTGCAGCATTTTTCTGGCTCTAATCTTCTGCCTTCTGTTTGTGTCAGCAGAACTCAATGTAAGGGCTGGAGGTCCTAAGGTGCTTAACTGCTTGTGTGCCAGGTTAGGATCTGCTGCTCAGAAACAGAAAATACCATTTGGGAGAGGAAAACTGGGAAAGTGAACCTGAAGGTCCTCGTGCCATCCTCTGTTCTG